ACTCAGCATCATTGCTTTTTGGCAACATGCAATCATTAGAATTCAAATAACAACTATTATCAGTAACTTTCAGCACCACAGCACGTGTAGAGCTTCTGCTTCTGTGTGAATAAATGGGCATGGAATAGATTCAATCCACTCTCCAGTCAACCACAATGCCAAAAACATGCACACTCGCAATAATAATCAACACCATCAAAGATACTAACCAAGTCTTGCTAATATAAATGAGTACAACTTTATAACTTACCCTCCAGGTTATTCCTCCAGCATCATTGTTCCCTTTTCTCTGGTGAAGCCAAATCTCTGTCAGTGTGTTTTTAAAGCATGCAACTACCTAACAATGAAAGCAACGACAGAAAGGGAAAAGGAGGATACAATGAGAAGGGAGAGAAAATCAAAAGAGGGAGCCTATTCTGGAGGAAAAGCCTAAATAATCCATCTGTGATCCAGGAGACGCTATCAGATGGGGTGCATACAAATCACAAAGCTACCGCTGCAGCAACCTAGGTCCAATATCCTCAGGGTCCTAAGGCTGCACTCACACAATTTACTCTTACAGATTAAGTCTGCTACCTCACGTACTCAAGGACATAATGAAACGGTGAATTTAAACAACGGAATTAGCATTTGAATTGAATTTTGTTGAAAAACAAGAACATTTCTTTTTTCATAGTTTTTCATTTCATTTTTAAGTCTTTGAGGACATCATGTAGAGAAGTAGAGAATCACAGTGAGTGTTGCTGTAATACGGGGACATGTCTCTGCTTCGTAGTTCACAATCTGCAGAAAAGCGTCCCACTGGGTCTGTGTTCACCTGCAGCAAAACAAGCCTGCCTCTATCTCTGCCACTGAATGAAATTGAAATTGTTTTCACCCTCTTATTTTTTGTTACCTGCTCATTCCCAGTCGGGTATAAACACGGGGGAGAGGGGGAGAGGGGGGGTGCTGGAACCTTGACATGCATAAGCCTCAAGGCAGAAAAAGACCCAATTCATCAAGGAGATAGCGATGACAAACACATTTATACCGTAGAAACTGTAGGCTTTTTTTCCAGTCCACCTGACTTGCATGTCTCTACAGCTCTGTCCTTTTCTCTCCCACTATATACATTTTCATGACAAGTGCTCACTAGTAACAGTTACAGTATATCATTCTTTTTGACTGATGAATGCATTGTCTTCTGCGTAATTATGGGTGTGACAAAAGGAGAATTGATGCGCAACATTTCTCAGCTGCTATTTATTCAATTCAATGTACCGTGCTGCAGTGAGGGGATGAGAGGCAAATCCATAGACGCTTTTGCTCTCATTTTTGTTCCATTAAATTCAGCCAAACAGCTTTAAAAAGCCTGTCTACTAATTCCTCTTGTATATTTATGGAAATATCAATCTAAACTTTATCGCCAGAGTCAAATGTTTGAACTGATGCTAAAGCCAGACCAAGAAATATACAGACAAACACACGAGGGACGTTAACAGGATTTATTAATCACCAAAGGTACAAATTTAGCTCTTTGGCTTTTGTGGCTTCTTATGTAGAATTCTTTTGTGAAAAAAATTGAAGGATGGGCAAATGTATAGAGTCTGATGCTACGATAGAGGGGCGTCAGGCCATGTGACCCGAAACAATTTTCTTTTCAACTGCACTCTTATCTGCAGCACTTATCCAGACCCTTCATCTAACTCAGCCGTGCGGTTTCGAATTAACCTGAAGTCAATATCATGGTCATCTATCACGATGGCAGGAGCAGACTTGCAAGTGTGACATTGGAAAAGTGGTCTCCTCAAGTGGAAATGTTGCTCAGCTGGTCACAATAACCAAGTCAGTTGCGTTTTGAACCCACGGTGAAATACACAAAGTTGGACATCATAAAAAAATACCTATAGACTTCCTATTAAACTTTTAACCTGTTTTGGAACAAAGAAACATATTGTTGATTGAGCAAGTAGAAGCAATATAATTTTTTACATTCCCCTGTTCTCTTTGGCGCCTTTGACATGAACGTTCTCAAACACGTCCTTATTTACATTAAGCATCGGATGCCAACTCACACATCTTTTGTTATGTTATTCACTGATTGTGTTTCCCAATTTCCCATCTTGTTTATTCATTTAAAACTAACTAACTCAATGAAATGTAGGAAATGCTCATTATTGGTGTTTGTGAGTTTTCCCAGGATAAATAGGACAATCACAACATCAGATAATTGCTATTTAAATTATGCCACAACTATAAGTGCAGAGCCTTTTTTGTATTCAACAAACTTATGTAGAGATATATCTATTTGCCTTCATTCATTTATAAAATCATCCCTTAATCATTGTTATTTGATAAGACATGACCTAGATGCACATTGGTATATTTGTTGAAATTAATGTTAAGAATTAAATCAATTTGAGTGGAAACCTGCTGATCCCTTGGTTCTTTCTGCCCGGTTACAAATTGGTGTCTTTGTTTAATGTTGGTTTCTTTCGGTGTTTCATTTTATATGTAACATCAACTATTGGCAAGACTCAAAGTTGTCTGAGGTCCTAAACTATAATCTTCTTACCGTGCACCTCAACAATTTATCATTAAATTTATATTATCTCACTTAATAATTAAACAGATCCCTTCAATAAGAGTGCTCTCATATACACAAACATAATTCAACTGTGATTTGCTCACATTACAAATTACCATACATTCATATGGTAATATTTGGGTTTCTGTGCCTTTCTCCTCTTTGGTTGAGCTGACTGACAGTCCAGCAACAAAGCTTATTTTTGTGGATTGACCATTATACAAGAGCTGCATGGAAGAGGCGTGAGAAAGCAACTTGGGTGTCATCGCCCCTTGGTAATCCCGCTCGTCTTCGGGAATTCATTTTCTCACCAGCTTCACTTCAAAATGACATTTTGACACCATTTACATGGAAATCACTTGGTCGGTAATAGTGGCCTGTGTGCAGACAGGTCCTCTCAGAGGGCTAGGCTATTAATGGACATAAACGGTAAAGAGAATGAAGGGAGGAAGGAAGGAACGGAGGAAAGGAGGAAGAAAGAATGAAAAAGAAAATAGGAAGGAAAGAGACATTTTATAAGGGGGTAGAAGGGATTTACAGGGTGAAAGTCGAGGTCAGAGCTTTGATCATTAGAGGGATGGAGACACTGATGGGAAGTATAATGTGGGAAATTCCCCATGTCGTCTTTCTTTTACTCTGCTTCTCTAATACAAGTGTGAGGTGTAAAGATTTTACCTGAAAGAAGAAAAGAAATCCAACATCAAAGCTCACAGCTGAGTAGGTCCGAAGAGGAATACATGTAGATTTCAGCACTGTAGTTCACAGAGATAATGAAGAAAGAAAAGGGTCTTAATTCGAAAAGAGTTTAAATTACAATGTGTGCTTTTCAGGACAATTTTAAGACAACGTCAATCATTTCTCTGTGGTGGTCATGACAAATTGAACCTTATCAACATTGGGTTGTAAAGTGGATTTGATTGTTGAATCAATGTATTTTTTTCATATGAAGACATATAACAACAAAAGATTTGTCTCGTAATAATATGCATGTGTGCTGTCATTGAGCCATTTGGGAAAAATCTTGTTTGAAACTACTTGTCAAATTTTTCTTAAAAATGGGGTGTAAAGGTGGCATTAATATCACTACTGTGTTTGATAAAGTGCTCTTGCAAAAATACATGAATAAATAAATCATGATATTTCAGATTTTAATTTCTGCGACCCTCGGTAACCTTCAGCAATTTTTTATTTTATCTAACTCTTTAAATTTTCTTAAGAATGCACAAAGATAACAATTTTTTTTCATAAAGAGCATTATTTCCGTTAATTAAGTTTGGATATCACAATACATCATCAGAAGTGTGTGTTCAGCCAGTGTTCGCTGGCTGACATTCGATGCAATACTTCAAAATGGGACTTTTTTCTATCAAAAGTAAGATGGGAGACAAGGGTGCATTACTAAACCACCCAAATGTGTGGTCAGGAGATATGACTTTTAATGAATTCAATGTGGTTTCATAACGGCAACCAGTGCTGTGTGAGGGAAAGGGAGGATACAATATTTAACTTGGTCGCTACAGAAGAGAAATACAGGACAAGAAGCTTGGAATTCTGAGGGTATAAAGGTCGAACCATCACACCTCCACAACAGCTGGGGTTTAGATTACTTTCCCTGACACTGGTGGAGGAGTAGAATTGGCCTTTTTAACAGCTGCATCTTGACCTGGTATATATATCGAATAGGGCTTTTTTCAAAACATTAATGGTGGTTTCATTCCCTTCCACTGCGGCAGTCAGCCATGGGAGTGTGACAGTGAACCAGCATAAACAATATCAGGACCCTAAAAGCTAAATGGAATCCAGTCATCATTCATTTGATCATTTACACCTGTACTTTTCTTTACATAACTGAGACGTTGCGATTCATTTTACGTTGTTTTAAAAAATAAATAAAAGAAGGCAATGATGTTTTGCTGAATAAAAAAACAGTTTACCTGATGCCTGTCAAGGACTAGTTGGACATTATCATTCATGTTGGAGTGGTTTTGAGTAACGTAAGTCAACTTAAAGGCCACTTAGGTCAGGTATGTAACATTTCTTCTGAAAATATAAACGCATTTATGGAAAATAGACTCAACAATGCAGTCGATGGAGACACCAGAAGAATGTTGTAATATTGTTTGAATACTTCGGATGCAGTTCTCTCATACTGGAGTGGTCTGTGAGAAATTTGCGACCTAAGCTCCCTCATTACTGCAAAACTATTAGAAAAGGTTCTTGTGAGTAGTTGCACCAATGCGGACACCAATGCAGCTCCGATTTGTCAACTGAAAGGGGCCATATCTCAGCTCCTGCAAATATATATGTCTATACTATATAATAGTGTGATGTGCTTCGTGTAATTCCCATTTTTTTAAAGTGCCAGTAAATGCAGCATAACAGTCAGGCGTGCCGCGCGTAGCTGCGACGTTGATAGGTGGAAAGAATATGACGTCAGTACGTACAGCGGGACCTCTCAGAGAAGATAAACAAAAAAAAGGAAGGAAGCCTTCGGCCGAACGATCGCGGCAAAACCGGTTTAAAAAAAATCAAACGTGCAAGCTTACGTTTAGCAACCTCATGTGGCACTTTACTGCTTAAAGCCTCACCATCTAACTTCCCCAGTCATGGACGAGGGACTCATATTCCGAATGAGTGCATTTTCCGAGCAGGGGGGGAGGAAATACATGGAGGACGTGGTCGAGATAAGAATCGAGTACGAGCCGACGCCGCAGCCCGTCGAAGATGATCCAAAGGCGCAGGGACACGGAGTCCACGCGAAGGCGGACAGCGAACAGCCCAAACAAACGCCCGCAAACGAGGCAGCGGAGCGTACGATCGCAGCCGAATCGGGCCCGGCCTGCGCGATGTGGGTCGAGAGCCCGCCTCGCGGGGACGAGCGCGCGCCGCCGCCGCCGCCGGTACCGCAGGAAGGGGTCGCGGAGCGTGCGGTCGACACGCGCAAGTCCGTGGCGTTTTTCGCTGTTTTTGACGGCCACGGGGGTCGAGAAGCGGCGCACTTCGCGAGGGACAATCTGTGGGATTTGTTAAAAAAGCAGCGGGGCTTCTGGTCGAAGGACCACGGCGAAGTGTGCGCCGCCCTGCGGAAAGGCTTCGTCGCCTGTCACCACGCGATGTGGAAAGAGCTGCGTAAGTCGCTCGGAGTTGAGCTGAATTGTGTTTTTGTCCCCTCGTGCCCCCCCCCCTCGCCCCCTCATAATTCTTGCTGTCACCGTTTGGTCCACAGTGGGCACATTGCGCATCCTCCTCTGCTGGTGGGAGGATGCGCATCCCGTTGCTAAGGACCTCGGTCCTCTGAGGAGGTGACAGCGAATGTTTTCATCCCGGCTTTAGATATGAACGGATTAAAGATTAGAAAGAGAGACACGATAACCTCAATCCAAATAGCTCCATTTACTGTGGCGATATGAGACCATATGCCGTTTTATTTAGGGTTATATCCGGTTCTGTTTTCTCTCAATTGTGGTGGTGAGCATGTGTGTTTCCTCCATCTAATAAATGCACAATAGGAACTTCCTCAGTTATGAAATATTAAAGAGATGGTTGCTAGAAAGAAAACAATAACCAGGAGTATCAATACACAGAAAAGCACAGACATGGGACATGAAGCTTATAGGTCACATCACTGATTCACATTCACTGATATAAAAAGGTAGAATGACATTCACAGCCACAGAGCTGCACACGTTAAACGTATGAATTGAATGATTACACATGAAGTTACAGAGAACCTTTTGCACTGTTGGAGGCATCGGGTCGACACTGATCCTTCAGTATAGAGGAACTTTGGACAAACTGTGTTATTCAGTCTGGTTAGTGGGATGTAAATGAATACTGGTTAAGCCCATAAGCTGAAGCAAATACTAAATACTACCCCTCCCCTAGGGGGGTTCTTTTGTTTGTATGGTAACATGGGTCAAAGCCATATTTAAGCCATATCTGAGACTGAAGTAAGCCTGGTTACGTGGTCATCATGATTTATAACAGCTCTCTGATCCACGGCTAGTAGACTCTTCATCTGTAGTGCAGCCTGACAGCGATGGAGTCCACTGCTTGTGGCTTTCATCAAATGGAGAAGCTTTGTCTTTGTGGCTGGTTTGAATGTGGGAAGATCGAGAAAAGGGTTGTATCAGCTGTATAGAACTGATGCAATGCAGTGAGCTTCTGTACTGTGGAGTAAAAGTTCTGAGGAAACGGAGCCAAACTATCCCATAAGGTTTCCCTTAAAGCTGTGGAGCTGCTGGAAAAGTGGCCATTCGTCAGTTCATGTGTGCGCTTGCATTGCGCCGGTGTTATTTTGGGTTTGAATGACAAGGAAAGGCTTCCTTGCCAGATGGAAAGGCTTCTTAACCATCTTATACCTTGTATTGATAATCCTCTTACGCCTCCTTTTGTTGTAGAGTGGAAATCACACAGTCCAGTAGGTTATTTCCACCTTCATTCTAATTTGCTCCAATGCACCTTCCTCATTACTCGTTGCCATTCAAACTTTTCCTAAGTGTGCCTTATGTTTTGCGTTTAAGGAACCAAACCAAAAATAGCTTTACGTTGTAGTTTCAGTATCCCAAAGCAATGTGCAATTTCCATTTTGCCGTTGTCCTGCACGACTTACCAGACCTTTCCTAGTAGTGGTCAGAGAGCAACATCAGTCATTTTAAATGTTGTATTCATCCTTTTTCTCCTTCCAGCGGAGTGGCCAAAGACCATCACCGGCCTGCCCAGCACATCAGGAACCACCGCCAGCGTGATTGTGATCCGCGGGGTCCACATGTACGTTGCCCATGTGGGGGATTCCGCAGTAGTGGTCGGAGTGCAAGAAAACGACTCGGATGTCACGCTGCAGGCCCTGGAAATAACACAAGACCATAAACCTGAACTTCCCAAAGAAAAAGAAAGGATTGAACGCCTGGGTGGCAGGTGAGTGGCTCAACAGGACCTCCAGATGTTTTGAAGATGAAGTTGTGTTATAAGGTTGTCAGATGAAATCCCGCTGACCCCATCGCTGCTTTTCTTGCCAGCCGGCCTTTTTCTGTATTGACGGGTGTTTTGATCTCTCTTGTAACTGCAGTGTAATGAAAAAATCCGGGGTGAACCGCGTGGTGTGGAAGCGGCCCCGGCTGACCCACAACGGGCCTGTGAGGAGGAGCACCGTCATCGACCAGATCCCCTTCCTGGCCGTGGCCCGATCCCTCGGTAGCGATGGCGTCGGGTGTAGTGTCCATAAAATGACGCTTCGTGTCCATTGGAGTTTTTTCTTTAACTAATCCTCAAGTGTTTAATGTTTTTGAATAATCTTTTAACAGGTGATCTGTGGAGCTACGACTTCTACAGCGGGGAGTTTGTGGTTTCCCCGGAGCCCGATACCACCGTGATGACCCTTGACCCCAACCGGCATCGCTACATCATCCTCGGCAGTGACGGGCTGTGGAACATGATGCCACCCAAGAATGCCGTCAATATGTGTTCCAGCCACGACAAAATGGTGGTACGGGACAATAGAATTACCGCCAAAGTTGCGTCTTTTGAAATGAAGAAGACCGCAGAATTGACAGGGTTTTATTAAATCTCCCACTCACTGCTTCTCCGTCTTTGCCTTCCAAGGGGCCGAAGGGGATGTCCTGCGCCCGGCGGCTGGGATGCACCGCCCTACTGTTCTGGAAAGAACGCATGCTCCGTGCAGACAACACCACGGTGATCGTCCTGGCGCTGCAGGAGCGCGGCGGCCCGCCCGTCCCGATGCATCGGGACGAGATCGTTGTCGACATGTCTACAGGAATGGACCATGTTCCCTTCCCGGGAACTACCTATAACACATGCGTGGTGCCAAAGGTCAGTGGCGTAGCTTGGTTTTAACCTCCTATTGTAAAACTTAATTAGGATGAACCATTTAAGGGCATATTGTAGGTTGTATATATTTTCCAAATGTAGTCAGTCACTGCTGGGGAAAGCAGCTCAGCACCACTTTGACCTCAGAACAATGTACAGTCTATATGTGTGCGTCCTTTCTGTTGTTGTTCGCTATTCGCTGTATTGTCTTTTTTATATATTTATTGTCATTTTCTCTAATCCTTTTACCACTAGTAGAAATCTGAATGTTTGAAGTCACCAATGGTGGTTGACTTAAGGTCACACCAAACATCCTTCTATCAGTGCAACAAATCAATCTTTGTTTTCGGGGCCAACAGGAGGAGCATGAGGATGACATGTTTTTTGAAGAAGATGAGATATATGGAGAAGAACATGGGGGATGGCCGTGCCTGGAGTGGTAGTGAGGTGACTGCTCAGTTACAAAAAAAAAAAAAAACTTGTGTCAGCATTGTCACAAGTCAAATGATTTGATTGTCGGCCAAAAACAGCTTTTCTTTATAATAACATGCCAGACTTCCTCTCTGGATGGGAGTAGTGATTGAATTTGTATTGATGTTGCTATAAGAGCGCTGTAGATCGATTATTTATTGAAATATGTTGTCCGATGCGTTAAATTACTTAAGTCACAGATGTTTACCATCCCCAGTAAAACCTCAAACCACCACTCTTCGCCCTGTAGAGGGAGACAGTGACATTAAAATGGCCCAACTTTTATTACAGTATACTGGGTATCACATTATAGTTTCTTGTATTTAGTCTTTACGTACACACGAGTGAGAAGACATTATGTCTTATATTAGTTTGCTATTAGATGAGCAAAAGGAATAAACCTTACACATGTTCATATTTATTTCAATTAATTCCAATATCTCATCCAGTTTTGATAGAAAGAAAAATCTGAAGGCTACTTTTCTTTTTTCCCATAACCAACCAGGAGAAGGATTGTTTTTTGGAGGAGAAAAATCACATCCCTCAGTTGAAGGTCATTGATCTATATCGACTACCTTACATCCTCTAGTAGCCACATTATCACATGGGCATGAAGCAAACATAAAACGCATCTTAATCTTAAACCAATATTGTGTGTCACACAATTGTTTTATTTTCAGTTTACTATTTGTCCATTTGTAACGCCTTCCATCTGTGTTTTATTCATTTTACAATAATGAATGGCAAGCAGTGCTTTTTTTATATTAAACATATCTACATTTATTATTATATGACAAATTATTTTTTATATTTGTATTTTTTCAGCTGAGTGATGCAGCAAACGCTCCCTCACAAGAACGTTCCACGGCTCTGTGGCGGGCGTGTGGGCTGCTTGAAGCAGCTTCCCGTCCCACCTCCCAGCACTTACCCGACGCCGACTCCGCGGGGGCCGCTCTGCCCCCCTCGGATGGATCAGTGAACGATTTTGAAAAGCAGGACCCCCCGACCCAGACGGACTGCGCGCCTCCCTTTAAAAGGTCTCGCCGGTCTCCGCACACGCACACCAGACTAAGAGGCGGCCGCCGGCGGCCCGTCCCGTCCTCCGGCAAAGGCTCCACCCCGGAGGTCCCGGAAAAGAACCTAGAAAGTGAACATTCCAGTCCAAGTCCAGGTCAGAAGAGAAGCTCCCCTGAGGAGAGCGGCATCCTACCGCAGCACCCGAACTCCACTTTGTGCGTGTGCTGATTTCTGCCTCTGAGGAGGGAAGGATAATCTGTATCAGGGTCGCCACGGGCTTATTCCTAGATGTGTACTTTTTTTATACAACAAGTCTTTGTTTTTGTAAATATGTGGGAGATTTAAGATTGTGAATGTCTTGTGGTTTTAACCTTTTCTTCTTGTTCTCCTTGCTGTCCCTACTTTAAAATTGAGTGTTGGCAGACATTTTTAAATCCGTTAAATCTGCACAATCTATTTTCGTATAAGTATCTATAGTATATTATAAAAGATGTATTTTGAGGATGATAACTACAATCTGAGGTAACATCAGTTCTACAAGATGATGACACATCCAGTATCCAGGATTTCTAATGAATGAATTCTCTGTTTTAGATTGATTTGACTTGTCTGATGCCGTAACATCCCAGTCTTTTCTTTATTCGAGTGAATACCTCAGACTAGTTGTTTCTGGGATGAAATATGCCATTATGCCATTATTCGTTTTGTTTTGAAGCCATTGTTAGTGGTGATACTGTAGCGTGAAAATAATGGAATTATTGGGGGGGAAAAATGATCTGAGGTATTTTTTGAGTGTAGTTATTATGAATCTGTTTCTTGTTTTGTATTTACCAGTGACTAATTAGGTACTTTGACGGTACTTTGCTTGACAATTCTTCTTTGTCGGAGCGATCCATCTCCATTTTTGACTCCGCCGATGGGTATTGGTACTGTATATGGTGCTCATGTGAAAGCCAAGACCAATACTTGTGCCTCACTGAAAGGAGGTTTGGAATATGCTTTCTTCTTTACTTACGTTTGCACAACACCCAGTTTATTTGAAGTGCCACTTGGGCACTTAACACCATTCCAATAGCCCTTTCCATGTTTCATACCTTGTGTGGTCTGACCTCATTACTTGTGTTTTTAATCTGCGTATCTGCGAAACACCTCGTGGTACGTTACATGGGGTGTATTGTGATTTTGTATCTTGCGTTAACAATGGCAGCTCAGTTACTGTTTTAGCAGATTTCTTTCGCCCCGTTCCTTTTCCATTAAAGTGTAATGGTTGCCTTGCACAAATGAGTCAAAGGTGCTATTCACACGTTTTCATATTTAGGACTCAAACGGGTGAGAATCTCCAGGATATCTCAATGCGAGTACTGCTGTGGCCCGGCTTGTCACCTTACCATCCACACCTCCGGCGGATGGTAAGGTGACAAAGCAGACTGTTGATTTTTTTGATTTTTTTCACAGCAAGTCGATATGCAATAGAAGTTTGTACATTACATTATTATGCAAAATGTTTTTTCAGGAGTCAAGCATGCTCGGATATACTCTTATGTTGTGAAGTGTCCAGAGGTAATGGATGTTAATAGCCGGTGTGTGTTTTTTGACGATGACAATACTTTGTGTCTGGCTTCATATCCACTGCAACCAGTTTTCAGGACTAACTGTATAAGCTACATGCGTTGAAAGGGACGGGATAAACATTTGTCTGTGTGTTGTAATAAAGTTCTCATTTTCTATATTGTTATTGTATTGTTGTCATTAAGTCAGTCTTTTGCAGTGCAGCCATGTTGCTTTAATACCAATATCTAGCCCATTGTGTGCAGCTATATTCATGACTATAATCATTGACCAGCATGTTTCTGATTTAAAGTAACATGGGCCTTACTTTTGTAAATGGAATTGTGTTTTTCTTCAGCTGCTGTGTTCTTTGCATAAAGAAGCAATGGTTCTGCTGCCTTATGTGCAGGGTGTACCGGCGTTATGTTCCAGTAGATGGCGGCCGTGTAAAGAGATATTATATTATATTATGGCTCTTATCGGTGAATGTACTAAAAACGAGCATCATCAGTAAGGTGCTCTCGGTCAGAAAGTTGTATTTCTGAAATATCGTTCTCTCTAATTTTGACGCTTTGCTGAAGATGTCAAACAGGTCCACGGTCTTTGAGTCTTTGCTCAGGTTGTTCAAAGGTGGACCAACATCGCAGTCAAAGAGAGAGCTGAAGGAATCTTTCGGAGCGACCAGTCAGATTATTCTAAGTGTCGTATTTCCTAATTGGACAGAACATGTGAAACTAGAAGACAACATGAAGGTTTTTATGTGTTAATCATGTATGAGATGTGAAATTCGGTTTATTAGGGAAACGCTTTAAAATGATGGTGTGTAGCAGAACAACTGAATGTTACGGAGGGTTTCACGCCACTGCGCTGCTTCCCTAAATACACGGCCCTACAAATATGTCCATGAAACAGTTACACAGCATCCCAGCTGAGTTTCTGATAAGACACAGAGATTCCTTTCACCAAAACAGTGTTTCTATATTTGTGTTATTATTATTAACGCGTTTGCCTCACAACTGGAAGGTCCTGTGTTTGAACTCGCCCAGCAGCCGGGGGCCCTTATGTGTGAAATAAATGAGGACAGTGCTAATGAGACTCCCCCAGCCTCTCCATCCCTGCAGCAAGGTGGGCCTGGAAGTTTCCCTTCAACAACTCCAGGTCATTTTTAGTGTGATTTCATAACCCTGTTACATACTGTACTTTAGCTGCACATCTCCTGTCTTCACACAGGGTCTGTCTCGGAGACATTACATACATTGGATCTATGATTGTGTCTTGACTTGAATATTTCATTGACTGTCAGCCCAGCATCTGCTGACCTGCCTAACATGCAACATTCCCCTCTTATCGCAGACAGCCTGTCACTGTGCATCATCCAGTCGAGCGAAAAATGCTCCACCACCTCTCCCTCTGCTCCCCCCTTCTCGCACGTCCTACAAATAAGCATCATCAGTGCACGTGTCTGGTGGTGGGACTGCGCAAACACTAATGAGTCACGATCCTCTTTGACCCTGCCCACCTGTGAATTTCAAAATGAGCTCCTTTAAATGGTAGATTCCATGCAATTATCTGTCCAAAGGGGTCTCCATTGCTGGTTTTCCATCATCTGCTGCCCAATGTGATCCCAGTAGAACCTGTACGAGCTTAAACCAGCGGGAGGGAGATTTTTTATTTTCAATGAAATGTTTTTAGCCTTTTGTTTATTGACACGTGATGTGTTTTTTAAGATAATTGGTTGAAACAAAAGTGTTGGAAATGAAGTGTGATGAAATGATGATGGCACTGGATGAAAAGTCAGTGGATGGCGAACCATCCTGAGGATAGCATACATGTATGGATCAAGTTCCATGGCAATCCGTCTGATGGCTGTTGAGACATTTCACTCAAAACCATACACGTCCAATTACATGGTTGTGCTGTAAATTCAGAAGATTACTTTTATTTCAACTTTATTTTTTCCCATTTCTGTATTTCACCATCTGGGGGAACTGTAACAGAACCATGTTGAAGAAACTTTAAGTTAAAAAATGTTTCTCTTTCATTATCTAATCAGCTGTATTGAGATGGTCCAGCAGAGGCACTGGAGTTCCTTGTGCACCAATTCTTTAATCACTTTTCACCCACCTGTTCTGCCTCCCCTTTCTTTTCTTTCGGTCTTTGCAACCAATCCAACCATTTATTTGTACCCTCATACCTTCCATAAATGTCCAACGAAATTTGGATTATTAAATTAGATCGCTGCTCATCTGGCAACTTAACACTCACACACTGTGAGTGTGTTTGAGCCTCAGCCTTTGGTGGAGGCCGCCAAACTCCACTCTTTTCATGTCTCCTGTCTCCTTCTGACAGTATCAGTAGTGTTTCGGCACGGCTTTAATGGCTGGCCCTCCGCCACTCTTGGGAGGCTCTAGAGTAAGTGCTGTGAGAGGGGGGGGGAGGGGGGGTGGACTTCTCCAGATGATGGGAGGTGACTTGCCCTCCTTTCTCCCCTTGCTCTGACTCAAAGAAGGCACGCAGCGGTTTAACAAATATAGTGTTCATCATGAAAATTATTCTTTGAATATTTAACTGATGCAAACGATTCGAATCAGTCCCTCCCAAAATATTCTCCTCCTTTCAATATTATATTATTTTCTGTCCTTTGTCCTGTTTCAACCCTGTGTTTCTGCTTCATGGCACTTGGTTAGACGCATCTTGTGATGAATGAGAATGTTTCTCATTACACTAATTGCAGTAGCTGATGTTGCAGATAGCTGCTGAATAGGCGGGCTTGTAGCAACATAATGACTTCCCTTTGTGGCAGGTCATGAGGTCTGGCTCCATGTTGACGCCTCCGAACTCGATGGTCTGTGTTGTGCACCGGGATCACATGGACGATCCCCTTCGAACAAGAGTCCCTCTTTTATCCCTTATCTTTGGAGACATCGCCACTAAAAGAGACATCATCACCTTACCTCTCCCATTTATCATGGTTCAGCGCCTCCCTCTACGACCTTCTGACGCCTTGATATCTCAGTCCACTCACTCATTCACTCTCTTGCTCAAAGGCAAAAACTCACAGGGACACTCAACCCAATTGCCAGCAGCTCAAAGTCCCTTGTCTCTGCCCATTGCAGCACATGGAGTGAATTTAATACCTACATCATTTCCAACAAAGAATACTTTTTTTACGCTATATTTAATTTTACATGGGTGTGTTTTTAATTGTTTGTTATGTAGGTCAATAACCCAATTTTTTTAACGTCATTTTGATAAAAAAGATGGCGCCTGCCACTAATTTCGATGTTTTTAATTGCTCTGGCTTATCAGGTGCAAACTGGGGGACATTATGCTGGGAATTGCTACACGGATATAAGGGCGTTGTTCAGGTAAACTCAAATCCAGCTGACTCATGCCGGTATGAAGAGAAAAGAAAAAATACAAAGCTGTCAAGTCACACTCACTTCTCATCACAAACCTTCTGCAACCCAATCTTGTTCAAACTGGCACGATGTTGTTTTTCAAAAATCCTTAATATATGATTATTTGTGACCGGTTACAATACCAACATTTATTTTCAGTCGGCATTCATGGGCAAAGGGAAACACAAAATTTACTCAGATGCCTATATTTAAAAATAATACGATTAATAGATGTCGCAGCTTGATGGTGATTATTTCAAACTCTTTCTGGCTGAGAATCAATTTTTCAAAAGATGCCATTTAGTCACTATAACAATATCAAATGAAGGCATTAAACAAAACAAAGGCGATTGATTAATTAAAAGAATAGCAGATGATTTACTTATTAATAATCTGGTCTTTATTGTCTCACATTTTTGAAGAATTTCACTTGATTGGTCATTACAAAGCTTGTGGAAAACTGAATACACTTAATACATTGTTTTGTTTTTGTTTATTTACACTAATACATTAGTACCGTCGTAGTGAATATTGTTTGTGAAGCCCAACACAGACTCATACTGGTTCAGAAAAGCTATATGAACAACTCTTCTCTCATGTGGGGAAATGTTTCATTTGGTTGGGAAAACTGATTAGCTGTTGTTTTTTAAATAATTACATATTTACCTGAAATCTCCCTGAACATTATTAAAAATATAACACTGTGAACATTAATTTATTGCGGCCAGGTAATGGTTTGCTTGAACAAGACTCCTAAAAAGCAAACTACAGCTTCAAGTAGCTCATTTGCCATCTCTCATTTTATAAACTCATTTTTCAGTCAAATAAACTGTTTGGGAAAGTTTATCTGCTGATCTGATCACTACATCCATTTAATTTTCAGCCAGAATGCCACTGACACTGTTGCCCACGGCAACTAACAATTACTCCCAACCTGTCACAGCCGGAAAGGCTTTGCCTGTCTGCTAAGTGAATAGCGACACCAGCTATTACTTTATGAAGAACCTTCATCTGTGAAACAGTCCATTTTAAATGTGAAATGAGACTTAAAGAGTTTAGTTCCCGACGTTTACAACTCCCTTTTCAAAGCGTTTATTTAGCAATTATCTACCCTGTCCTTATATCTGTCTTTTTTTTAATTGCCAGGGAGAGAGAGAGGCACCCACAATTGTACGTTCTCATTTAGGAGCTGGATTTAGAGGTGTTTTGAGGTTAAGATTCTTAGCTGTCTTTAACTCCTGTGGCTTTTACCCTGAAACAATCTATTTAACCTGACACACATAAGGAGAAGGTTTAAAGCTGATTATGTGTCAAGGATGGTGTTTGTAATTCCCCGGTGTCTGAGATAACCTATTCAAACAATTGTGTTCTTGTGTGTCGTAATCTGTGTTATTGGTGAATCGAGGTGAGAACAAGGCAGAGCAATTCATGTTTGGGATAGGTGTGGTTACTGTTTGATTATATATTATCTAACAAAGAAAGGGCTCATTCATTGATTTCTGCTGGCATTTTCTTGCTCATTTTATGTAATCTAAGGTGGCTTTGAGAGCCATGAAAGTTGGCGTATTAAAATGATGACGTATACCTACAAAGGTTAGCTTTTAGGTCCTTCGTTTACTTGTTTCAACAAAAGCAATGACGCTTCCATAGTTTGAGGAAAATCTGTTAAAATTTCAGAAAAACACTAACCAAAGCTTCCAAGTAGGGCACAGTTTTAGTTGTCCAACCAGAGGAGGTTTTGTGACGAGTGGTGTTACAAAACGATTAGCCGGCCCAGGTG